ATCTCTACCTCCAAATCTCTCTTCTAATACCTTGTGAGCTTCTGGCACACTACATCCAATGAGTACTCTCACTCTTCCATCTTGCAATGTTGGAAGAGGTATGTCACACAGGTACGGCTTACCGACAACCGTTTCACGACTAGGTACTATAGCTTCGCCAAGTTTCATACTGGAGGTAGTGTAAGCAGTATCCACTTCCACGGTCTCCCCAGTAGCCAAGGATTCTAACTGAAATGACACTCGCTCACATACTACTGTTTTCGCAGAATTGAAAGTATTTACAACCAAGGGTTGCTTTGGGCCTTTAATACCCAAGCAACCAGCCAGTTCAGCATCTATCAATGTAACGTCTGAACCATTATCCAACAATGCATAAGTCTCTACTGAAGATTTCGGTCCTTTCACCTTAACTGGTAATACCCCTAAGAAAACTTGTGGGATGTCAAGGGGTCTAGAGATACTATTACAATTAACCGAACTCCCAGGTTCGTTCACTGTTCTCAGAAGTGGGTGCATATCCGTTAAACCACTACTTCCTTTATTTGTCGCCTTACAATTCCACTTTGTATGCCCAATCTTTAAACAACTGAAACACAGCCGCTTCTGCTTTGCCATTTTTAACCTTTCTACGGGTGACATAGCGATAAAGCGATTACAATCACTCAATTGATGCATGTTATGGCAGACAATACACTCATCCTTTCTCGTTGTGTCTTGAGACTTCACCACAAATGCCTTCCTTATATTCACTGGTTCCTTAGGTTCTACCTTAGAATGCAAAATGCTGGCGAATTTGCCCATCGCCTGGTTGACACTGTCCTTCACCAGTCTAAGAATATCATCAAACCTTGGCTCGATACCCTCCTCCTCTATACGAGAGCTTATTTTTACCCATTTCCTTTGCAGCCGCGTAGGTAGGCGTCTTGCAATTACCTCTAGGACTGAGCTGGAGTTGAGGTCACTCATGAAATTCATAGAAATCAAGGTATTCTTGTAAGTCATAAGATTGTCTAAAAACTCAGTGAGTGCCTTGGAGTCATCTTGAAGTTGACTGCCATTACCTTTGACAGCTTCGTATACGTTCCTTACAATCATCGAAGGTCTTCCAAACCTTTGACGTAATATGCTCATAGCCTCAGCGTATCCCTCATTAGGGGGCATGAGCTTACAGCACTGTATAGCTCTTGAAGCATCTCCAGTGCAATACCTCATCAAATACATCAATTTCAATTCATCACTTAATAAAAAACTACTCAGCATGATCTCAAACTCCTTTACAAATTGTAAATAATCGGCCGGGTTTCCATCAAAACACCGTGGTTCAAATTTAGGGAGTTTGATGTTCCTATTATCCCTGAACGGCGAAACAGTAACATCAACCATGTCATGCTTAACATCAGACACATCGTTACAATTAACAGACAAGTCACCATGACTTACTTTCCTGTTTGTATCCAAGACACTCTGTCCCTTCTTTGACCCAGGCATTGTTGAACTTGACCCAATTCCAAAAAAGTTCCAGATATTGCTTGTTCAAAGAGGACTTGACCGGCACCAGGAAAGATGAACGGTGACTATCCAAACTTTCACCAACTATCTGAATCGGCCAGAATCTGTTTCTACCGTCAGAAACTGTCAGCCACGTCTCGTAAACCGTTAATGCCCAGCTCTTGCTACGCTCGGGCTCACGCTGTTCCTTGAAGTTTTCAGAAACGCTTAGTAATAACGGACGCAAAAACCAAAACACCGATTGGCCGCTTGAGAATTCTTTATTGTAACACCAACATATAAAAAATATTTCTACTAAGGTCTGTGAACAAATATTACAATAATAAATCATAAGATTACTTCTGATGGTTTGCTACTGACTTCTTTCTGAACAGCGACCGATGAGACGATGACTGTCGTATTGATGCCTCCGCGAAAATTGGGGAAGTTGGTTTTGAGCAAACAACCAAGAATTGATCGTTCAATCTTCAAGTACATTGACACGAACCTACTTCCAAACAAATTTATGAATAAAAAATTTTGTCACCGGTAAATAATAATACTCTTTTGCTGTGTGATTTATCGGCCAATAAACTAATATCAAAGTACTTTAATCGCTGTTGAGTACTTCCTTGCCGTCACATCAGTTTCGAAAACATCTGATATCTTGTGGGATCGATTGTTCTGAACAATGATGGTACTACAATACAATGAGACATGGTTCACATTAGATGTGACCTGGTAAGCACACCAAAGCAGAACAACAATTGAACTTTCTTAAACACGGGATATATTTTAAGGATGGTAGGGTTGATGGCTCATACGTGCTTAACTAACAAGAACGAACGACCTGAATTAATATAGCTTTAACGGTTGACGGTATGGACGTCCACGAAGAATACTGAGTATATTAAAGCAAGATCTTATACCAACAACTTCTAACTTATTTGTATACCAAAAGCAAAGCAAAAGAGCATAATCGATTGTCCAAATTACGAGATATATTTCGGAACCAAATCGCGGATTGAAGCAGAAGCTAAGCTCGCTAGTTATCGTGCACGACAGTGACACGACATGGTATCAAATGGCGGGGATGCTTGACGGGAAGCCTTCAGCTAAACAAGTCGACTTGAACTCTAGGGGCCAGCATCCAAAGTTCACTGATGATTCTTATGGTTAATAATTTTGGGGCATTATTTACCTCTACATAGCAGAGTAACATATGACACAAATTGTTGACAAAGCATCATTAACTTAGCCAGAGAACTAAATAGTGGAAACTGTATCCAATATATGGTGACACTGGAGGCTTATGTCATGAATTCTGAGATAATATTTGAAGCTTAGGTTTCGTCTGGTGAAGATGAAGGTTATTGGACTCTTCAGTGTTATACTTGTGCTCATTCCACTGGATTACCAACCAAAACATTTGAAGAACAGTGTCCCAGGTTAACTTCCAGCCCAATAGATTTGTGATGAGTTTTCACAAGCAAAAATTGAGAGTATTAATCATGGCGAATGTTGTTCAGGATTCGGTGAAAGAGTGCCGTTCGGATGAGTGTTTTAAGGTGAGCTGTAACTAGCACTTCCCATTTCAGTCCATAACTCTCAAGACAGATATCTGAATGGATACAGACATGCCTCTAGATAACCTGGAATTATTGTCGCAGGGTGACTCTAAACTGTAGCAGCCCAAAACGAAACTACCCCTAGCAGCCAATCAAATTCGTAAGAAGTACAGGTGCGCAGTTTGAAATAAACGTCTATATACAGGTAATGCAACGTTCGAAATGGTTACAGAGGATAAAATTCTTGTGTATGCTACAAAAAGCCTCCCAGTTCCTCACATGAGCTCTCATAGTCAGATTAAACCAATTTTTGTAAATAAATTTGTCAAGGCCATCAATAAGTTCATTAGGTAGTTTCGTATTGTGCTGCTATTGTTTAAAGCCACCTGTCGCAGAACTTAAAAAGAAATTTTCCATTAAAAATACTTGTAATTCTTAAGGCTCCCATATATTCCGCAATAAATGCCGTTATCCACACAAATATCCTGCTGATTTCTGATTGACCTGTTCAAGGTCATTCAACAGGTCAATTGTATGGTTTAGTATTCTTCAACTTCTCTCATATTTCCTATTATTTCGTAAGTCGGTGACTCTAAAGAATAGCGGCCCAAACCGAAACGACCTTTCAACGCAAAAATGACCTTGACAGGGACAACTTCGACCAATGAGAAGGCTCAAAATGAAAGGCGCATAATTGTAAAAAACGGTTTATATATAAGTAATGCAGTCATAATAAATAGTTACAAAGGATAACGTTCGCGTATATGTTGCAAAAAAACCTCCCAGTTTCTCATAGGAGTCTTCATTGTCATATTAAACCAGTTTCTATACATAAATTCATCTAGATAACTGTAAATCATTGGATTTCTTGATCCATTAACAGCTCTTATCCGTCTTTTCAGACGACTCCATAAACTTTCGATGGAATTAGTGTGCGTTCCATCCACAGGATTCCTGAAACCCTCCGTGTGATTGACGACATGATGAATATACCCATGATTGGATAATTGACGGTAGGCACTCCATTCATCTGTGTGAATAGTCGTCCCAGGCAGCACCAAACGCTGAATAATAGGCAATAATACACCTGCACTGCGATTTGGAATCGCCTCTATATACCCTTTTCGTAGTGTTGTGTCGTATATACCCAATATCCACTGCTGTTTGAATTGTAATCTCCCCCGGTTATATTTCCTTTTTATCAATACAGTTTCATCAATATGTACGATTACACCGACTCCTCCAAGAACTTGAGTCAGACTGTTCATTTTCCACGAGGAAACATCTCTGCAGTAATTGTACCACTGCACTGCTGACACCTCTGAATTTTCTGTTTCGTAAGCCGTAGCTGTAACTGGTCTTTTGAGGACCCAGAAGTTACATATCATTAAGATTTTCGTTAACGGTAGTTTAGACCTAGAGAAAAAATTTTTTAAGGGATCTGTAAACTAAAAAACAACGACAAACCATCTCGAAACGATTTCCTCCTTCGGCACTCAATACATCTGTATACAAAGCCATCGATGGCCTCTGCTTATATTTGTATATGCATAACTCCTCCGCACTGGCAAATTTTCGACAAAGCTATGAGTCCGCTATCCAAACAGTAATCGAAAACATCCATGATTACTTCCGAAAATGATACAGTCAGCTGATTCCTTGCTCAAGGTCACTTTTTTGTTCGAAGGTCATTTCGGTTTGGGCCGCTATTCTTTAGAGTCACCCGTAAGTCAAATATTAATGAAGTATCAGTTCAGCCTGACAGTATGAAGGCAGCCGATGGACATCATCCATGTTGCTGGAGTAACAACTCAGTTACTTGTTCGAAGTTGTTTGTTAAGACATTTCATTTGGTTGGTATTTTCACAGAGGAATAAAGCCCGAAGGAATATCTTACCTTAAATATTTATTTTGTAGCTTACTTCTATTACTTGTTAGATTGGGATGATTCGAGTTTTGGGCTGCGCAAATAAATTACCTAAATGGGTTACGCACTTTTCAATTGGCCACGCTGCAGTTAATTGTAAGTTATTTCGCATGGGGCTTGTTCCGGATCTTCTTTTCGATCTGAACAACCATAGTGGTCACTTTAATTTTGACCAATGTAAATGAAAAATCTGTCTCATATCCGTAGTACAAGTCAGTAAGCCTTTCATAGATAAAACGTTTCTTTGCATGATGTCGACATTCCGGAAATGAAACTACACAAGTCGAATCAGGTAGGCATGGTACTATGCCGGTAGCCATAGTATGTCTACTTGTCGTGCTTAGCGAGACTAAAATGAAACGTTAGTTACGTCACAAAATCAAGACCTGGAAGGTGTTTTCTGGGAAAACTGATGACTGCCAGGTTTGCGGTTCTGTCATTTGGATGAGTAATTCGGCCTCAAATACAGCTTTCGCAATGAATAGGTGCACTGGCGATGTGCGAAGGAGTATCAAAACTATACTGTGAGTTTATGCTGAATAACCCATGTCCGTAGTCCTAGCATATATGCTCATGTCCAAGTTCAACTTTAAGCACCAGTAAGTACCAGTGCAGTGAGACCGTACCGATGATCTTAAACAGCCCAGTGAGCAAGTCAGTGAAACCCCTAAACAACGCTGTTATCATGCACAATCTGTCACCCCGACCCAGTCATGCAGTGTTTCATCAGAAAGCCGAAAATCATGAACAAGACACTTCATCCCAACCGATTAGGAGTTTAAATCTAGTGGAACCGAAGATACTCGAAGCTATACCTGATAAACATCCTACTCATATATGTCCTACACTGAGCAGCAGGTATTTCCAGTGCTGTCGACATACCATCTCTATGCTCTAGCAAACATGGTCTTTGTAGTGTACTACAAAATAGTAGCGCACTCAAGCAGTCTAAGGCTACTGATGCTAGAACGGGAAACAAGCAATCAAGGATTGAACGTAAGCCCGAGTGCGGTTGATCAAACTGTCTCATTCTGTACACAGTACCGATGTGCAGCTTCCGTCTACCATAAAAGGGACTGTTTGTTCAGGAACAGTGTTTTAATTTGTGTAACAAACTAGGGCTCAAAATCCAGTGTGTAAAGCTGCTTAAACTGCTGCAGAGTGTTCAGGTACCTCATGGAAGATGCCTACTACTCATCTAACTCCTAGCTATGGAGAGACCTTCCAGTATACGAATACAACCTGAGAGCTCATGGTTAGTCAAGGGAATGGCGAGGCGGTAGCTGGAACTAATGACCTCCATGGTCATATGTTGTGTTTCAGAGTTGGAGATAGGCAATCCTTGCTAGTAGCGTGCATGATCCGCAACAATCTTGTTTATTGTAATTTTACATATATCTGGTATAGGCGCTGCATCATTTCGATTGCACGTGTACGGTGTTGATTTGGTGAACAGAGATTCAGTGATCAACCTCTCCCCACCCAACTATATTACTTTTTTTACTCCACTTTCCCAGTGGAACACAGGGCTTCAAGCTAGATGCTTGGAGCCTCGGTAGCAGTGGTGTTTATTTTTACGGGATGGGGTTGCTAGCTTCATGCCCAACCTTCCCTCTTTACCAGTCTTACTACTGGCTTAACGAGGTAAAGTAGTGCGTCGGCTGGGGATCGAACCCCTGACCATGTGCATGGTCGGCGAGCGTCCTAAGCGCTATGCCACCGACAAATAATTTATAATAATAATAATAATAATTTGCTTTATTCCACAACAGTACTTGTGATGCAGAATGGAATTCTCAGCATTTCATTACAGTATTGCGCATCCAGTTTGTACATTAAAAAGTAAATAAAATTCTACATAGATTATAGGTAGTCTCAGTTAGTTTTTGACAACAACATATTAGCATATCGGTCGGTAGCAAAGTCAAAATTGAACAGAATGTTGGAAGGTGTTAGAAAAGTAGATACTACTAGCATATTTACTGGCGTAAGCGGTAACAAAAAGGTCGAGATATACAGTGTCAAAGAACTCTTATCCTGTCCCATCCTATTGTTTGATTACATGCAAATGAGTGCATTGCAATGGCAGTCTTTTTCTATATTACTTAACTTAGCAGGGTTAATCATTTCAGCAATAGTGAAATTTCCACGTTCCGATGATCTAATTGATTTGATACTCATTACATGGTATTTAACAGATTACGTATTTCTCAATAGGATGTACTGCGTCTTTGAGCTGAAAAAATTCTAGGAGTTAGTTTAAATACCATCTTAAATCTAGCCTTATCAAGAATCTTGTGTAAGGCTTCTAATGCTGTTTTTATGTGACAGTACTATGGAAGCTTTAAGTCCCTTTTTATTCATATTACCTTTATTATTAACATTATTACTTTTATTTTTTTCTTACGTGCCTTCATACATTTTTGAATGAATCGTGGTGGGCACTAGTTGACTATTAATATTCACCTTATTAGTTTGACTTCACTATTTAAATCTAATATACTGGTTAGGCTCCTAACCCCCTTGTATCAACACTTAACTAAACCTGCCTTCACGGGTCCTGGGTGGAACGAATTAGTTTAATTTTATATTAGGCTGTGTTGGTTTGCTGAAAATGTATCTATCCGTAAGATGTGTGCTGAAAAGCAGCACCCTTGTATATATTTAGATAGGGTTCCTTTACAATTGGCTTGGATTTGTTCATGCAGTTATTTTCGTCATGTTTATTAAATACAAAGTATTCTCCCCCACTGTTAGATATAACCCGGTGAGATTTATTTATCGTAGTGTGATTGCTGCACTTACGCCTACTTACACTGATGCTTGCTAGTTTAGTATCTTTTTGTACGGATTTAGCTACAGGGATACTATTATGTAAATCAGTCCCTAGTTCCATTGAGAGGTGTGCAGGTTGGGCATTTCACTCAATGTTACTGTCACTACCGGCTGATGGTTAAGGTGCACAACCAGACTTCGGTGAGTTTAAGCCCGAAACGGTAACAGAATTGTCGCTACACAGTCTGTCTGTTTTCGACATAGAACTTTGCACATATGTGCGCAGTTCAAGTCGCCACACTCCATGTAGCACTCAAAGCAAGAGAAGAAAGTACAAGAAAAGCATAACAGAGACAGTAAGCTGAGGTGTTAGACAAAGGAAGAGTAATAACGAAGAACAAAACAGTTTCATTGGAAGTCATAAGTCACAAGGAGTGTATGCATCTGCACCAGCCATTGAGAACGAGGATTTTGAGCCATATCACCAATTGTTTCCAACCACTGGTTTTCACCGTCCCGAGGACCCCAACCAGTCAGGAAGTCTACACCTTCCTACGTGGCTGATTTAAACTAACTGTTGTAGATTTCATTGACTGGTGCCGAATTGACAGGGTGTTTTGTTCCGAGCTATAGTGATGGACTTAAAATGACTGTTTAATCATAGATGCTCTTGAAATTCAGTGAAATTGCTAGCATCAAGAGAGTTACTAAACCCAAAATTTATTGGGCAGTTAGAGTGGAGCGACGTTTTATGGAGCCATTTGCATTCACTGGTTACGTTTACCATGCCAAAATTCAAGACATTGTTTTTGTTAGTGTTAACAACCGTTAAGTCTGATATATTATAAACTGTCTGTCTGTCTGTCTGTTTTCGACATAGAACTTTGCACAAATGTGCGGAAGTTCAAGTCGCCACACTCCGTGCAGCACGCGAAGCAAGAGAAGAAAGTACAAGAAAAGCATAATAGAAACAGTAAGCTGAGGTGTTAGACAAAGGAAGAGTAATAACGAAGAACAAAACAGTTTCATTGGAGATCATAAGTCACAAGGAGTGTATGCATCTGCGCCACTGTGAACGATTTTGAGCCATGTCACCAATTGTTTTCAACCATAGATTTTTACCGTCCCGAGGACCCCAGCCTGGAAGTCTACACCTTCCTACGTGGCTTAGACCAACTGTTGTGGATTTCATTGACTGATGCCAAGTTTTTGTTTGACCGCCGCTTGCTTTTTTCCAGCCTGACCCTATATCCACTAACATAGCTCGTCGAGGGAGGCGATGGCTTGGCATACGTAACACATGTCCTAACCATCTCAGTCTTTGTAGCTTCACGACTTCGTCGATTGATTTCCCCTGTTTACCTAGAACTCTACGCCTAACCTCCATGTTGCTCACCTTATTATGCCACTTTACACGGGAATTAGAACGCAGGCACCTATGATCAAAGACAGCTAGTCTTTTCATGTCTTCCACTCTCAGTGGCCAGGTCTCACAGCTGGCCATAAAGGAGGACGGAGCGGACTGATGAGCAGTACACCCGCCCTTTGGTCGATAGTCGAACATCTCGTCTACGTCAGAGTCGGCGTAAACTGGTAAATGCGAAACGAGCCCCCTGTATTCGTGCTGAGATTTCGTCAGAGATCTGTAGTCTTTTGTAACAGTACTATACGCTTCATCACCTTGGTGCCCAATCAGTCAATGGGGTGTTCCACCTTAGTTAATTTTTCTGTAACAATTTTGAGACGTTACTCTGGAAGACAGGCTATTGGGTCTAAATCTACAAGTTTTCTCTGAGTTGCATTCTTTAAAGACTTTATATGCTCCAGTATCTGAGCGATTTTCTGTGATATTTGTAACTGCTTTTGTATGCCGTCAAGTAAATTTAGTATCGTCAGAAGTTTTTTGTGTAATTTACAAAGCAGTTTAAGTTCAGAAGCTCAAAATTTCCCGAAAGAACATTTCCGTCGTATTACATGAATGAGCATTGTGCTGTAGTTGCTTAAATTCGGTGAGCTGATCGTTGTAACAGTTCCACAAAGTGGTATTGTAGTATCAGTCGAGCCTGTGCTACTATCTAAAATACGTGTTCCAATGAACACGCTTTTTAGAAATTTGGACCACAATTATTGAAAAGTAGATATAACAATGCAATAAATATCAGCAAAAATACGTGCAAAAGTGTCAGCTATTCCAAACACACGCTGATATTGTTGACGCCCCATAGCAAGCCTAATTTACTTTCGGTCATCAGCGAATCAACTGATAAGTCACGTACAGTAGACTTCTGGGGTTATCTGTTTTGAAATATCTAGGTTGTTCG